AAATGTGATGGCATTTCAAACCATTCATAAGGCGATATGAAACGGATTTTGATAACTAGATTTTTGTTGTTGGAAATACACAAGATAGAGGTTAATTAACAATCAAAGAGATCAGACTTTCAAATTGAAAAGACCCCGGGATGGTATTAAGGACGGCATTTGTTCCCTCTTGAAACGCCGAACATACCGCGGTGTGTGCAGCTAAAAATACAATGGCATCTTATTTTGTTTACAAGCGACAGATTCCTTTATTTTTGTATCGCTGCATTTGTCATCAAAATACAACCATGCGCGGGGTTAATAGTGAGGCAATATATTATTCATTTAGCCTGACGGTAGTGAAGTAAGAGAAAAAGCTCAAGAGAAGATGAAAAACAGGCACTGAAAATGTGTGAGATGTCATAGGACATCCTCTGCTTGTGCAAATCATGTCCATCCTGTGAGGTCACACATCTCAGCAGCGTTCGGAGAGCTCCTCAGGTGCTATATGCCGGGGCTGTATTTAAGCATTTTGTAATATATAATAATCACTACATCGAATGTTTCCAGGCATTGAATTTTGTTAACCTTGTCGAATCCAAGTTTCAACTTTGCAATAATGAAAATAAAGTTAGTTTTTAAAATCAATGAATATCTACTTTAAGAAACTATGTGAACAATCGCTTTGCTTGAGAAAGTTCACAGGTCTCGAGTGGATAAAAGCTTGCCTGACAAATTGCAAGGTTAGTACAAGCTAAAACTACTTGTTAGGATTACCCTAACCAATTAAACTTGGAACCATTGATCTCTTTTGCAATAAAACACTACATAATGAAAGATGTCAATTTCCAGTGAAGGTGGACAATTTCTTCTTTCAATGTTGGTATAGAAGAATTTCAGATAAAAGGGACCTTTGTTGCGCGTAGTTGCCATTGATTTACAAGCCCTAAAAAAAAAAAAACAATTGTTTATCCCTCCATATCTTAAAATGCGTTGACGGCTACTTGACGACTTTCTTGACGAATTAGTCTTGACGGAATGACGGCTATCAATAGTGATGACTTTTTAACGGGATCCGGTAACTTTGTCTCAGGTTCTGAAACAAAATCCTGGATTGAGCTCATGCTGCAATGATAATTATAAACCTTCAGGTCAGTCAGGAACCCCATGACTTTTACAAGCTGATCGCCTATCTGATCATAAAGATATTTATGATTGGAAATCGAAACCAAGTTTTGCGTTTTCCTAACGGTTTTCATTACAATACAGTCTATTTGGAAAAACAAGTACGGTAAAACCGGTCAATTAACGAGTTTTACTTTTTTGAGGCACTTTTTGATCATTTTGAAGCGCAATTTTTGTTAGGGCTTCAATATTACACCATATCATAGACACGTAGGGCAGTGCAACTCAGATTTAACATTGTTAAACGATCCCTTTAATCATTTTGTGGATGTGGTAGATATGACGCGGCCAAACCGCCGCGATTTTCTTTTTGTATGATGACGTAAAATTTAATAAGTTCACGTATCTAAATCTTATAACTCAGAGCTCAGTAAATATGTGTAAGTCCTCTGTTGCGCGCATCTGACATTCATTTTACACATACAGTAAACCGCTGTGTCATGTCTGAAAAGCGTTTACTCTGGCGGGTAGACAATTATTATCGTCTCGTCGATCTCGGGGCTATACCATCTTAGTAGCAGCCCTAGATAATAATAATAATACTAATGATACCAAAAGTAACTTATAAAACTGCCAAATCCACTCTGCGCAGTGCTATAAATTTTCCTATCGTTAGAGTAGTCGGTAATTATCTGCTCTCTATCTGTGCAGTGCTATAGTTTTTCCTATCGTTAGAGTAGTCGGTAATTATCTGCTCTCTAAATCTTTAACATGCTACGATATCATCCCCAATGCTCAAGCGTTTATAATACACTACCAATCTACAAATAAGCACCAAAGAAAAATGCATAATATTATGGCACAAAACGAATATTTATATGACTTATTTCAAAGAAATGTAAAATCGGACACAGTATTGATCTTACTTGATGACTTCAGTACGTCAAAGATGATTGTGACGAAGAGGAAAACAGCAACTTGCTTTTTTCGAACCATCGTTTGTCGACTCCGTCGGATTCCTCCAGAAACCACAAGATCTCTTTCGCAGTTGTTGCTTATAGATTTAGGCTTCCTTTCCTGCTTGTGGTTCTTCTGTCTCCTTCTTTTCACTAATACCTTCTTCTTCTATCTGTTTTGTTTAAATTTTTACACTACGTCCTTCACTGTACCTCCGATATTAATTCCTTTTTCTTCTTACGTCCTCGCTTCGACTGTTTTTCCTCTGAATCCTCTGTAAGTTATGGTCTTCGTGTCTCTACGTGTCAAAATGCCCTAGCTTTTATACAAACACGATGCATACTGAAAACAAATACATTGGACAGCTCATAAGTTTGATTATTTGGATATGATATGATTCTATGCCCCCTTTTAGGTGTGCCTACTTCTGTTTATTACAGTGCAAATAACATAACTATTCATATGGCAGATAAAGCTGCTTGTCTAGGTTTATTACAAGGTGATAAAATTCGCCATTATCGATGAACCCTCGACCCCACCCCTCCCCAAGTGTGAATATTGTTTTCATTTTTTATCTCGCTTTTTTTGCAAAAACCAAGCAATATTCAAAGAAAATCAGAAAGGAAATCCAATGGAGGCACACAAGAGCGGTAGGCTTTTAATGGCCCTCATTTTCATCTATCACGGAAACTGACCTCACATTGTGGGGCAAGCTGACCTGATGTTCCAGTGTTTAAATATTTCTTTTAAAAAAGAATGAGATCGATTGTTTTCGTACTCATTTATTAATGATATGGTCAGAGTCATAAGCACGTTTTCGCGAGGGGGCTTAGGCCTCTTGCCCTAATCTCAGGCATCCTGTTTCTCAATTTTTTCGATAGAGCGAAGCTGTTTGCTCTTATGATTGGATTTCCCAAAATACTGAGTTGATTTTCCGCATGTCTTCGCGATCGTGTTTGTGTGAATCCATTCTTATCACTGCTTAAAGCCCTTTAAAGTGTTGTGAGCCCTAAATTCGCCAGGAATTTGATGGCAAAATTCACTTAAATTGCATCATAATATGAAATAAGATGTCATTAAAGACACACTTCTGCAAAGATCCCCCCCCCCCCCCCTAAAAAAAAAAAAAATGTGTTTGAAGACAAATATTGATATAAAGAATACATAATGTGTACGCAAAACAAAAATTCCACAATCCAAACACTTTACATTTTATCTATGGCAGATCTGTGCACCTCGTTATTTCACTCCGTGAACAATATTAAAGTCAATGATTTGACTTACCATTCAGTGGAATGTTATCACATTGTAATAAACATAGACAAGCAGATTTATCTGCCATATGAATGGTTATGTTATTTGCACTGAAACACATTTGTTTTGCAAATTCTTGCAAAAATTTGTATTAAATGACATTCTCTTTCACACAATGAAACAATTTATAGGTAATTTTTGCCATAAAATTTGTGGGGCTTCCAACATTTTAGGCCTTAACATTGCATGACTTTGATCACGCATTTTTTTTTATATCATATTTTATGACATACTTATATGAATCCATATTGCAATCAGATTAGGAAAGACCATTAAATTTAATGATAGTAATGATATTTTTTCTCGAAGTGATGATGAACGAGGTGCAAAAACCTTTCAAAATCCATTTGAAATGATTGTTTAGAAACGAAAACGTCTTTTATGCCATTATTGCTGATTTTGTCTCGTCACAGCTTGTCGACATTGGTGAATCATTGTTTGGGCCTTATTTGAGTTTGGTGTTCGGTACCGGATATTGACGGCATTTACATGCGGGTTTTCGGGCTTTAAAAAGAAAATATGTATATATATATAGGTGATTACCAGGTGATTAAAGACAACTTCGGAGAAGACATAATGTACAAATGACCCCCAAATATCCACAGATATTTTAAACATGGATGAAATTTATGATGTGAATTGTGCAATAATCACTGCCAAAGTGATGGAGGGGCTTCATGAATAATTCGTTGCCCTCTCTAGAATATTTTCATCTGTGTACCAAAAAATGTAACGTCGGTGCATCAATGAATAATGATTAAATACATTTGATGAACACGTATCCAGCATTCGTCGCCATGTAGCAAATGAAGCTGACTGAAAATCAATACATTTGATTAGTTATGGCCAAAATTAATATGTAATACTTATGTGGCATTTGCCATTGATAAAATGTGTTATGAAGACAAAAAAGTGTCCTCTCATCTGTCTCTTCGTCTCAAGAACCTGTACATTTATTAACAACCCTATGCATACTGAAAATTAATAAATTGGAACGCTCATTGTTTTGATTTCCTGAATATAATATCATTTAATGCCCCCATTTCATGCGTCACATTGATACATTGATACAAATATTGATAATAACAATTATAGAGTTCATGTCTGTCAGACTTTAAACTTCTGTCGCTTCGTAAATATTACCCCGGCTTTTCAATGGCTGCCATTATGGCGCTCTAGCATTTCAAAGAATTAATTCCTGCCAGGTACCCGTTTACCTCATCTGGGTGGAGAGCGGCAAATGTAGATTAATATCTTGCATTAGTGCCGCGGCGACTCGAGCTGCGAACCATATGATCCACAGTCCGGTGACATATCTACTAGACGACAGCATTCATTCATTAAGCAAACATCGCAGCTGGTCGAATTTATCACAAGGTGGTTGAATTCCATGTCACTATTTTGCAGAATAGTCATACAAAATTCACATTAATGCATATTACACAAGAGCAAAATAAGCGAGTTCGAAAATAGCTCTGGACCGCATGACCCCAAAATATCCACAGATCATAGACAAGATGGATACTTCCCACCTGTGCATTTTAGAATAATCACTGCCAAAGTGATGGAGGTGCTTCATGAATACCTTGTATTTGCCTCTTGAGAAGAATACTTCCATAAATGTACTGTCGGTACATAAATGAATACTGATTACATAACTTTCATGAGCATGATAAAATTATTCGTCTCAATGGTTTTACGATTTTGGTCCGAATGACCTTTATTTGCCCATGCGCAAATCCTAATTACGAACTCGCTTATTACGAGAAGGTCACTATTTTTCCCGATCATATGTATAGGTACATAAACCCATCATCATAATTGTTTCTATACAATCATCAACAGATTATTTACTGTCATACTCTGGTCTTTGCCTTTAAGTTGGCCCATCTCTGCTTAGAGCAAAATTATGCATATATTCATACAAAAATCACTAGACGCATTTTCCCCATACCTTTGCACGATTGTACAAAACGGAACAAAACTATTTGTTTGCATGAACATTAGAAACGGAACAAATTACAGCGTCAAACGGTTACATGGAGCCTATTTTTTTTGTACACGTGTAGTCTTGAGACGACAATCAGAAACGATGTAATTTGATATCAACAATTCTTTCAAATGGTACAAGTAAAACGCTTTTTTACCCTCTCTGAATGTTGCGTTGTTCCTTAAATTTACAAGTTACCTCTTCGGACAAAGCGAAAGTAATATGCCTGTTAAAAATAATTTTTCAATATTCGCTATGTTAATCGCTATTATATATAATTTTTTTTAAGACATCGATGGACGGATATGAAAGCAATATTACACCATAGAAAATAAACTTTCACAGGACGGAAGAGGGCAAAATTATCTACTTCTTTGTGTTCATTTTTATTCATTTGCAGGTATTTTTCAAATTCCAGCAAGGACTGAGAGACATGTTGATTTGATGATTACCCCGACTCAACCCTGCCAAACAGAAAGAGAGGGAGAAAGAGAGGAGAATAAGTAAAAAGATATATACACAAAACATTGAGGAGGTAGGGAAGAGCATGAGAGAGAGGGAGAATTGGAAAGAGAGAAAGAGAGAGAGGGGAGAGGACGGACGGGAAGAAGGAGAGAGGGAGAGAGCGTTACGTCACTCTATATCATTTTGCACTGAACATAAAACAATCTGAAACAAACTCAATATTGTCAGGATATTGCCATAAGTGATAAGCAACTCCACACAGAGGTTCCCCGTCTGTTTTGATGGGTATATCAGTATATATCGCATATTGCCTTATCGGACACAAGATCTAGTAGATGTTCACAGATATTGCTAGACTGCTAAGTGCAGAGGTCATAATGTTAACACATACTCAATATTATCATTATTAGTCATTATATCTGATTCAAATTTCGTGTTTATCACGTTGCCCCTACCAATAGCAATAATACATCAGTATGATGGACGTAGATATCTTACAAAACTTTATAAAGACAGGCATTCTGATATGAGAATAACCGCAACATTTATGAATACACATTAATATTACATTTTAAATACTTACTTAACGAACGTAGGATTTTGATGAGCCAACTCCTCGCTTTTTGTAGGTGTCACACTATCAATTCAGAAGACAGAAAAAGTAGAAGACGATTGTTAAAGGGCAATCGAACCATTGCAATTCGTTCATTTGAATGAAAGCAGAAATATAAGACAAACAGAGTGGCGAAATGTTTGAAATAGGAGATCACTAAATATATGAGAATCTCTAATTTGCTGTTTGGGCAGTGGATTAATTGTGACGTTTGCACGGACAACTCTCCTGTTTGTCATGTTTGTCGTGTACAAATAATTATCTAAATAATTACTTTTTTTCTCCTAAGCGATTTTTTCCATTGGGAATTACTAAAATAAAGATATTCGGGATAGCATACTATTACTGGTTCTTTATAGAGAAACGAATCTCCTGAGTCATATTTCTGATTAAAAAAGACATTTTATTTGTTTTGTGTTTTGGAACAAAAGGGATACTTGTCAGGCACGACATGAAAATATTTTTCCAAATCAGCAAATTTCAAATCCATATAGGTATAGTGTTTATTTAGTAAAAAATCTAAACTTTTAGATTGAATATCCTTTTTTTTAAACTTTCTATTGGAGTAATATGCTATTAAGGTTGGATTTAATGAGACATATTGTACATATCGATCACATACAAATAGGCGAAGGCCCTGGAGTGGGATCTTAAACAGTGGGATTGTGAACATGATGTCATAATGAAAAACTCACATATTTGAGAGAGTTCGTGAGAAGTTTTTATCCCCACCAGATTATTAGGAGCATGGAGTTACTAACCTAGTAACTCCATGTTAGGAGTGTGACACGGTAAAAGCAAAAGACAATTCAGAAGAAGAATGTTAAGAAATGGTGAGAAATTAATACCTTTTCTTGTGACATAGATGGCCTATGATAAGCCCGGTGACAGCGATCAACGCAACCGATCCGATCGATATCACAACGATCGACCAGGTGGGAAGACCTGCAGAAAGAGGAAAAGATAATCTTAAATTCATAGTTTAAACAAAAAACATGGTTGATCAAAAATATGGTGAGCACTGGTCCATTTATCGGCCGGAGATATAATTAGGAGAAGCAAACTAGTAGTTGCTGAAGCGTTGACGTTCAGAGCAAGGAAAAGGAACCAGTTCCGGTGGAGAAATTTTGCCAATCTTTGTTTGATTTCATCATTTCTTTCCATTTCAAACAAAGTTAAATACTTTTTGGTCATATACGTAGCTTTATTCACGGTTGAACTAGATTTTCTGTTGGAGGGGGAAGGGGTACAACAATAAACGGCAAACAAAATTATACTAAAAAATCATATTGAGGATCTCCCCTAGGAAAAACTCAAACACACAAAAACAAAAGGAGGAAAAAAATGTCACGAATAGGAGACACCACACGAAAAACAAACAAAAGTCACCAACAACAAACAGACAAACAAGCAAACAAACAACACCTTCCCTTGACCTACCATCATCACCCTTCTTTTGGAGTGTCGTGCTCGTCAACTGTGGAGATGTCTTTGGATCTTCGGTATAATATCCTTCCGTGGATCCCGTCTCTCCCCGTGGTTGAGTGGTTATTGTATCAGTGATAAGTGGAGTAGTCCCGGGGTTGATAAGAGGAGTGGTTGGTCCAGCTGTACTTCCTGCCGAGGCAGTCTGTGATTCAGTCGAACGTGAGAATGAAGATGCAGATGATCTTACATCTTCAGTGGTTACCCTTGACGTAGCTGCATCGGTGGAAACAAATGCCGCGGTCGTTGTCTGCACGAACACCGCAATGCATGTCGGGATATCGCTATCACTCCATGTCCCATTTGATTGGCAGGTCCGGTTGGCCTCGTGACTCAGCTCAAACCCGCGGTCACATACGAACCTGGCCACGCCTCCTGGTGTGTAGGTCGTCACGATGGCACTTCCATTAGCAGGGGCGGAAAGAGTTGGGCAGCTCACTGAAAGAAACGACGATAAAAACAAAACGTGAGGAGACATATTGTTAATAATAAATCTCACATTTATAAATCGCTTAATTAGACGTTTCTAAGCACTTGACATTGGTGTTAGTATTACCCAAGTCATTGTGTTCAATTGCTAATCCGCACATGTAAGTGCACAATCTCCACTCCCTGGGAGAGTGTTCCGGCCAGGCGCCATTTTACAAGCGCACACAAGCCAATCCAACCACATTAACCTTCGCATCCTACCGGCTACACATTTAACATGTAGGCGGTGAGTAGCAATTTGTTATGCCCACGGACAATAGCGCCAAAGCAGGAGTCGAACCATGGATCATATAATCCACACTCCAGTGCTGTATCCACTAGATCACGACACCTATAATAAGATTATTTGTAGGGATATCTTAAATCTGGCGATGTTGATTTTGAGAATAATTTAAGTTTATGCCTCGATTCTGTTTCCTTTATAAGACCGTTGCACATTTTCTGACGTAAAGCAGCGCCAGTTACTGGCTTGATCTTTGACCCGCCATATGGAAGTGAAATCGTACACAAAGTGAATACAACGTGAGCAATAAGAATAACATGTTGTTGTAAGCCGAAGTTCTCTTCAAAGGTTTGATTAGCGTATTACACGATCCATATGAAATCATGTTCGTATTATGTCATTGTATTGGTCGCACATTTTAGCAGGTGATTGAATTAGCTTGTGTTGTCTTAAGTAGAGTTGCTATAGTGTTATAAAACTGGCCGTAACAAAAATGTATATAGAATCAATAAGCCAAACAACATACAGAATGAAAGAACGTACCAAATGAAGCCCTATTGTCAACGGCCTCTTCCAACTGTTCGAATTCCTCCACGGAATTCTCGGCGAAACTTTGCGATCCCGTTGTCTGGTAGTCGAAGATACAGAACTGATTCGTACCGCAGACCTGTTCGACCAGGGTTTGGTCTACGAAAGGGTTTGTGACCGGCTCAAAGATGGGACGGTAAGCGCGGTCGGTAAGAGATTCATGGTCGTTGCCCAGTTCGTAGAAGAACAAAGATTCTGCAGCATCGATCTCCCCTGTATCAAGTCAATGGAAAAAGTACCCGAAAGTATATTAAACAAACATCCAACTTCCTAAAACACACATATACAATGAATTAACATAATTTTCTATAACTCGTACTCTGTTTTTTAAAGATGAAGTTGAGTTCTGGTCATGCGATTGCATTGTGAAAGAAACAGTGTGGAACCGACCAGAAACGGTTGATCATCTAGCATATAAGAATTTGTGTGTATTGCAAGGTTCTGGAATCATCAAAATGATAAGAAATTTGGCCAAGTCTTGGTAAAGTTACAAACACTGTACACAGAAAGATGTATATGGGACTACACGAACACGTGGCGTAAAAAGTCGCCCCCCCCCCCGATTTTTACGATGTTATGCATATTTAGAATATAAAGGCATTTGAAGAGCCATGCTTTTCAGGGAACATGTCTTATCTGATGTTCTTCCACACTTGCATAATAAGAATGAGAGTAATGCTCACACATTATTTTTCACCTCTTCCCGGAACTCAACCTTCTCTTTAAACAAATATTTTGATATTGGGCGAAGAAGATGAAAATGTTGAGGGGAAATGTGATTATAGGATCTTACACTGTAGCCCGAACTGGTCGTGCAGCTGCTCAGTAGTCAAACCAGGGGAGAGGAAAGATCCCTGCGGAGTGAGAAAGTCATCATTAGCATCACCATTCCACGTTCCCATCAGGCCTTTCGTTTGACCCTGGAAGGAGTCTGGGGCAACAAGAAGAATGCTCATGGCCCCCTCTGAGGCTTTCAACGTCAGTCCTACCCCGCCGTCGAAAGCTATAAGAATTCCACCTGAGGTAATGTTGCGACCGGTTACAGAGACACCTGAGAAAACAATGAATGGTAAACAGGTGAATGCGGAAGTACTAAGTTGAATTTCGAATTTGATATGTTTAGAATCAGGTGCTGAAAGCTATGTATAATGTAATTCTTCCACATAATCCCACACTGATTTCACCGCGCGGCTAAATTCTTACACTAATAAACATGACTAACCGAATTCCTAACCTCAACCCTAAAAGCAATCGCATATAGGTCTTCTCAGCGTTTGCGAAAAGGTGTTTACCGTAAATATTTAAAGGGGAGAAGTTGATAACTTCTTTGTAATGTAGATAGCATGTTACTCATTTGCAATTGAATTTGTTTATCATAATATTATGTTCATGGGTAGGCATGATTATATTCAAGGAAGTAAACTGAAATAGCAGACAAAAACCTGTAAAAGCCCATCGAGAAGCTTGATCGAAGTCAATCCTTGTGAAGTTTTGTCCATCCCCGGCTAGTCGGACATAAGCATCAAGAACCCTGCGCTCATTGGTTTGAACATGGATTACGTCACTGTCACCATAACGTGCTGCCATGGCAACAAATACTGTGGCTGCGGGGATTCCTAAAGGAAAAGAGAGAGGTGTGACACATGGTGTTAGACATAAAATTAGCGACTCCTTTTCCTTTAACAATTAACATTCGTCAATGTCATGGCACTTAAAGTTGACGAGGTGTAAACATGAAATGAGAACACATTTGACTGAAGCTTGATATTCATAAATTTTCTTCAGTAAATCCAATAATGTATCTTTCTAATTCATTATGTAAGAATGATTGATTAGTTGTATTATGATTTATAAAATCTTGCAATTCTGCCAATTGGCTTTGAAAATAATTACTACCATGACCAATGCCATCAATATTGTCATCGCAATAGCCTTTTAGAGTCAGGGTACGATGATTCATGTTTAATGAGGGGGAAATATCGGGTTAGTATAAAAATAAGAAATATACATTAATTAACATGATTAAACTGAGGCCTAAAGAGTGAGAAAATAGAGAGGGATGGAGATATAATTTACCACTAAGAGGTGTTGTTCTTGCTTGTAAGATGAAAGTACCATTCAGTGCGTTCATCATCGTGAATTCACCATGTCCATTGAATGTGTACATGGTCGAATCAAGAGTTGCAATATGTGGGTCGCCATTTCCCTGTGCTGTTGAGCGAGGAAACAGAGGAGAAAGTGTAGGAATGACAGGTATAGAACATTTGGATGCAGGGGAGTGAGAAACATGAATGTATCCATTGTTGTGGTTTCTACTGATAGTGGTTGACACTTGATTTTTTCTCCAACACAGTGACGTAATTTTTTTAAACATGCTTACATGACAATAGCGCATTACGTAAGCTGAACATGATTTCTATGGGACATACAAAACCGTATTGAAATTGCCCTTGTCTATTGAGTTAATTTTTCGAAAATAGTTGAGATTGTGTTTATCTTATAGTTATCGTAACTACAGACGTGCTTTATGACACGGTCACCAACTCGCACTCTTACACCTATTCAAGTAGTCCATAGGACCAATTGTCTACGAGACCGAAAGACCGGCTAACTGCCACGACTGCACGCGGAAATTAAGCGTCGTGGTGATCAATTTTGACCACCAGTCTTTCAAGGGCCAATTTACCCGTACTTGTAGAGGTGTCATAGTCGAGTGGTTTTAACACTTGTGGAGGAAATGAGAAGGTCGTGGGTTCGCTAACTGGTATAACACAAGTAAACGGAATACCTGGTGGTGGTGGTTTGTAGTTGTCACAAACTTGAGATGGTCGAAGTCTTGCAAAGCTTTTGCACTCGGGATCATCATGTTCACCGAAGCGACAGCAGTATGTCCACGGCAACATGTCGGTGAGGTAGTGCGATAGATACGGTACCTGAGTAGTTGAAGTCAGGTTTACATATAAATATTTAAAATGTATGGGGGCGCTCAATAATGCCATATGGTGGGGTCATCTTGTTTATAAAAGGTATGAAATGTCATCAACAATGGCCATCATAATGTACAGCAAACCGCTATGTTAATGAGCGATATAGTTTTCCTTTCTCAATCTGTCTCCCTCTATCTTCCTTGAAATCCATCTCCATCTTCATTCCTCCTCCATTATTTTACTTTCTCACTCTCTCTCTCTCTCTCTCTCTCTCTTTCTCTTTCTCTCTCTCTCTCTTTCTCTTTCTCTCTCCCTTTTCTCTCTTTATTTCGTTCTCTTTTTCTTTTATCTATCTTTCACTAAAAAAGAGGTAAAGGGGTTTCAATTTAAAGTCATCTACGACAATTTAATATGCTTTGGATGAGGATATTACCCCCCCCCCCCCCTGACGGTCCTTGAATTCTCCATTCCTTTCCCTCCCCCTCAATCTTTCTCTCATTATCTCTCGTTCTTCTTTGTCAGTCTTCCATCGAGAAAGAGGCAGAGCGACATCAGCTTCAAGTCGCCCAATACTGAATATTCTGAATCGGAAGATCATATCACCTTCCCATTTTTCTCATAGGGTGGGACGCCTCCGTGGTGGCGCCGATGACTATATCCCCCTCCTGGGAGATCAAAGACATTGATGATCGTTCCCTTACTATCATAGCAGCATGCCTGTCCACCCAGTTTTTTGCTAAAATGAAATAAAACGTTGAAATGGTTGAGATATCTTGGAGTATAATAAGCTCTTAGGATCATTTAGGTCATTGTATTTAAACTGACAAGGCTACCCTGTCAAGGCCTAAACAAGATATACCTCGTTTGATTACGGTACGTCATATCGTGTTCCACCAATGTTTCAGTTCCTTTCAACAAAATAGTACAAACTAGTAATAAAAATAATAATACATTCTCGCAGTGCACTGGATGCAATAAAGTTGATAACAAGAACATGCTTAGGATTTAACTAAATGTATGTAATGATTAAACTTTTACCTCGGCGTGTTGGCTCGTACGCAGTGCGTCGCTCCAGGTTTGTGGATACAGTTGCTAGGTGACGAGATATCGATATCACACTCTGGATGGGGACTGAACCTACCGATATCTAGCTGGGCTTGGTCAAAGGTACATGGACACGGCGGTGTGACGTCAAGAAAAGAATCGTCATTTTCCACCTCCACGTCCCACCAATCTTGGCACCAATCCTCTGTGTCATATCCCTTGTACCACTGTAGAACATGGACCTTGCTCCAGAGCGCAGCCTGGCTTGAACTAGAATGTGAAAAAGTAGAAATCGAAGTTAAGGGAAGAAGGAACATTCCACCCAACCCTTTTCTTTTCTTCTCTGGATACGCCTCAGCTTTGCCTTCTACATTTGTCCAATGTAACACTCGGGAACTTAAATAGGCAGCCATATTTCCTATGTCTTTATTTCAGTAATGACGATACCGAATTGTGAACCGATATTCCCCGAAAATTAGGGTAATTTGTCTCCGTCAGTACCACATTTAATCCCATTATGTATTGTGATATAGTGTTCAATGCAAAACGCAGTCTTCCTACTTTATTGTTTACATTCTTGTATTCAAAACAATGTATCCTTCATTTGTGCTTGTTATGTATTTCTTTTCGGTAGGTGTTCTAGCAATGCAGGCTGAATTTAAGCAATAATATCAAAATTCATTGATTTTACTTTGTCACGTGAACTCCAGATTCGATGACCCCGATGACCCCAATCTCGAAATCAATCTCAGCGTAAGGTAACCCAGATACTCTTTGGATACCAAGGCGGTAGTTGATTCCTTGAGCCAATGTGATCACAGGTCCACTGAACTCGACCCCATTGTCCTCTCGGTAACCGTAGACAACGATGTCGACTTCGGTCACGCTTTGGAGGGCTTCTGTGTCCCACGTGATCTCGAAGTCGGATTCTCTTTGGTTGCTTTCCGTTACCGGGGAAATACATTGTCAGGAACATCCTCAGGGCTACCTGTGAGACAAGATTGATTTCACTATCTTGGTTAGGTGAGCTGAAAATCTATAGTTATTGCTCCAGTGGGGTGTTCCACAAAGATCCCAAGTCGAACTTAACTCTAAGTTGAACTTAAATATTATGGATTTTATATATTTTATTTTATATTTTATTTTATAGCTACAAATGTAGCTATAAAATAAAATATATTCAAAAGCAAAAATTCAAGTATTTTAGACTTTTTATAAATTCCACATCAAGAACATGAAATCTCCTTGATAATAGAAAATATGAGTGATTTTAATCAACATTTTATGCCTTTTAAAATAACCTGTATAAAATATTGTCATAGATGCTAACGGCTTTCCATAAATGTTAGGTCCAACTTAGAAATAAGTTCAACTTAGGATCTATGTGAAACACCCCCAGGCTTATTTTGACAGAAGTATACGGTTATTGTTAGGGTTTTATTTGATTTGAAGGTTGGGTCTGTGGTAAGGGTTAACTTAGGAAGAGGTTAGTAGAGGTTAGGCTAGTGTAGGACATCACCACGGAGCAACTGTTACAGGAGCATATGTCGTTTAACACTGATAAGTACACCAACATATCAAAAACAGTTTAGTCCTTGTGAATTATCAAGTCATGGCCGTAAACCTACGCTGTGTAGTCATCTTGATGAAATACATGTATTGTAGGCCCGCCTTTGCCAATTTTAGTAATTCCATATAAACATTGTCAAGAATATGTTATATTATCTGTTATGATTATTAGCATGATATAATAATGAAGATGAAAAAGATACCAAACAAAACAACAAAGACTGGCTTATTTATTGGAGGGCTAAAAAGACGAATGACATTAATAGAATGGTAAATGCAAATGAACGTATTTTCTATAAAAGAAAATCCTAAAATATTCCTGATGCTCAGCTACAACCAAATTAATACATTGAACGTTGACACAAAATATTCTAACTTACTAATTGTGAAAGTGCCTTTGAACAGGAAGGTCCTTCCGCCGTCTAAAGACACCCGTAGGGGAATTCGTCCTACTTTGTAAAAAGTCGGCGAAACGCAGAGGGCGGTCTTGACGGACAGAAGTCTTCCAAAAGTTTCGATTCCGTCAAAATCACAGACAATCAGACTGGTTGCGTTGAAGCATGGTCCGCTAATGAGTACCTGAGTTGCGCCAAGCATTGAACCGACCAAAGGGAACAAGGTAATTTTACCTGTAAGAACGAAATATCTCCTGATACATGATGCTTATAATGCTACAAACGGAAAACAGAAGCTCGCGGTTTGGTCAAGAACATTTCATGGTGATTCAGTATTAAAAACATGGGCATTCTAGCTAACATGTCGAATACCAGCAGCCTGTGCATTAATAAGACTAAAACCGAGAAAACTACTATAATGTTATTTTATTTGGTAGATCAAAATATCTATACTTAAGCGTCATTAAAGATGTTACATTTACTCATAAAGCCCATCGCACATTCTGTGATCAGACCATGAACCGATTTTGGAAGAATTTGTACTCAATATAAACATTCAACTTTCACTTGATCATTTGACTTTCTATCAAACCAGAACAGCAAGTCCGAGAATAGTAATTGTTTACACACCAAATGTTGTACATTCTAGTCCTTCGATGTTGGAGTTGTCCGTTCTGAACACCCATCTCCCAGGTACACCGATGTTCGATGTCGTTTCGATATCGACGACGGCCGCTGTCTGAGATCCAGGGACACTGTAATAGGTCACTCCGTCACCAGCGTTGAATCCAACCTATGGTTGAAATTTTTAAACTTTAAACTTTGAACTCTCACTTTGGTTCTTTCTCATTTTGTTCATCGTTTGAAAAGATTGACCAAAACGGTTTTCATTTTACAAATACAATTTCATTTCCGTCTGAAAAGTCAATGTGTTTGTCTATTAGCACACCATTATAACAAATCAACCACCTACAATCGTCCCGTACAAATTGTCCTAGATTTGAAAACGATTTAATACCACTGTACCCACAGGCTTGCAAAGTTCGGGGCTAAGGGATTACAGCCCCCACCCTACATACACTTTTGAAAAAATTCGAGCAGCAAAGTTGTCGATTTAAATTATGATATGATTCATTTTATATTGTGAAAATCAAAATAATACAAAGTCAATATTTGCTATGCTAACTCGAAAATATGAACACCGTAAAGTTGAAACTCAGACGAGAGAGTCAGCCCCTTGGTATGATTGTGCCTGTATGCGCCTCTAGTTGTGCCCATGGTGTTGCATACCTGAGCAGGGATACCACCGAGACCATTACCATCACCACCGCTGGCTTCTCCTGTTGTCCAGTTGATGTCACCGTAATTAAAGATGGCGAAGGAGTATCGACCATCAGTAACAATCACAGCTTGAAAGGAATTCCTCTGGAGAAAAAAAAATAATAATTAGCTTTATGAAGAATCTTTTGATTTGTCATAATTATAGAGAGAACTTTTAAAGCTTATCAACACTAGTGTGGCTAGGAGGGATTAGACCACACAGCGAGGTCACTGACAGGTGGCTATCTCATCAACTCAGCTCTCAAATAACATAAGAAATAGAGGATCATGGGTACCAACAGGCACCGATTGGGGAAGTTTTCTATATAGAGGGAGCAAGTAGCTACAAGTAGGACAGTGGGGCTTTAACACGATCTGAACTACTTTGGATAGATCAACCTAAGGTAATTTCAATAGCCTTGTGCGTCACCCATTGAAATGTTCGAACGTTACAATGACGAATACGTCACCCTAATATGATTTATACGGAACATACTACTACAGGATATTAAAATTGCCCTTGAGTTAATTTTTCGGAAGTAGTTGCGATCTTGTTTTCTTCAATCTTTCAAAAGTCCGAAGAATTTAGAGAGATAGGGGGTTTATCCCGTGTAGAATTCTATAGATTTTCATAATGCGTTTGGTATTGGCGATTGTGTGTGTGCGCGGGGGGGGGGGAGGGGTGGTGGTCGAGTTTTGCGCCATACAAAATGAGGAGATGACGACATGAGAGAGAGGGAGAGATCAACGGTATATTGAGTAATGAGGAGTGATTTAAACCCACTGACTATTGTTTGTTTAGATTGCCATAGGCTTCATACTAGGACCATTCGGTTCCTGTTATAGGCAATAGATATAAAGATAAAGTTAAGTACTGGTCTTGCGATTAAATCGGAAAAGAATTGGGAAAAGTTGATTACAAAGAACATAAGAATTATTTTGCATGATTTAAAATGATTAATTGAAAAGAAGCCTCCACAGTCCGAAAAATAACATGCATTTGCCACGAAAATTGGTATATGTTGTATAGACTACATACGCATGTTGAATACACATTTTTATCAACAAGTTATAGCCTTTTCCCAATATGTTTTGAATAATAAGGCATTTAAGGAGCAAAATCCTTCCTAAAGTGATCAGCCTCCAAACTGACAAACAATGAGACAATTCTTAAGTAATGTTCACCTTTACCAGAACTCAAAGTTCTCTCATCATAGAGTACTTACGATAGAGGGATCAGCAGGATTGTAGAAGGCCACTCTGTCCCAGGTCGCGATGTACATCCATGACGACACAAAATTTCTCATTTCGATAAATGACTCTTTGATAATCCTATCGGCTTCAACAAACAGCTCATCATCCTGACCGAATCGTAGAACTTCTCGATAGGAAATAGCACCGCCATTCCTCGTGTCGACATCGCCCCAGAATGGTGTGAGAAGTCGTCGGCCATCCCCAAGTGGGAAAGTATCCGGTGTGTATTGTGAAACGGCATCCAAGAACGAGATGACCCCGTTAGTGTTGACCTGCATGAATATTCACATAAGAGCGGTGCGCACGAGGCGTTATATTACTTGCGCCAACTACATTACATTTATTCCAGGCGCAATCAATAGTCAAAGAGGGAAACCCTTTATTTGAAGCAGGCACAACGTTTCGATTTGTCCGAAAATTGACTTTCGACGGAAAACTGGATAGTATACAAATATACACTGACTTGAGAGGTTCTGGTTAAAACTATGCGCAAGAGGTGACTCCAATAGTACTATTTGCTGAGGGGCGCAGCCCCGAAGCAAATGGTACTTTTGGAGTCACCGAGGCCGATAGTTTAACCAGTACCTCGAATAGAAGGCATGGTATATTTGTTTTATATCCTGCATCCAAAATTTATATAAAAAAAAAAAAAAAAAAAAAAAAACAATTTTGAGAGAAAACAAATTTAGAACAAAAAAAATGTCAATTTTTATCTAAAAAGATTTAAAATATTTTGTTTTCATTAAATAAAGATTGATTTGAAGGAAAAAAATTAATTCAATTAAAAAAAAATTCACATTTCTTTTCAACTCCCAAATAGTAAACCAAAATAGTACTCTCATATAGGTACTTTCTAAAAATAGGTCAAATATTTCTGGTCATGTGACGAGCTCTCAACCAATCAAAAGCCAACAAATTTTTGATGCAGGATATAATACATAACATGTGTGTGATAACTAGCGAATTGATTCATCTGTTTTTTTAACGGGTGGCAGTTGAATATTGTGCATTTGGTTATTGAAAAAAACATGACCTATTAATTTTTTCCCAAACTTTTGGTGTAAATCTAAACAAAATGTAAAAATCCGTCTCCAAAGCGCTTTAGAGGCATCGTAAATATATGAGAGCAAAACAAATTCAGAATGTCATCACCATTATTATTATTATAAGTATAATGATGATATTGATGATTATAAATATTATAATAATGATAACCATAATTAATAATAATTTCGATTTCTGATAATGAAATAATTATCAATATGGCCTATTGTCATTGTCGTTATTATTAAAACTGATTAATATCTACTGATCTAATTTCCTTTTTCTAGAGCTTTTGCAATCACTCATTTTCCCTTTTTTGTATCTTTCTTTATTTTGCCTTTTACTATTTTCCTCCATTTTTCTCTCTTTTACCCCCCCCCCCCCAATCTATAATTTCTTAGCTACATATTTTTTTTATTTCTTTATTTTCTAAGCATACTTTGTTCATGTTATATTGCCGTAAAACAGCATCTGAGGAACTAACACTTCAACAAGCTCTACTTCTAGTTAGTTACTCTTTTCTCGTGTTTTTTTTCTATTATATTTGTCGTTTCATTGCATATTTTTTGTAATATAATTAATCATCGTATTATGTTTTGCATGAGAAATAAAATCATTTGAATTATTGATCATTGTTATCATTATCTTCATCATCATCATCATCATCATCATCATCATCATCATCATCAAAAAATGTGCATGTATCTTACGAATAGACTTCTATGTTCGTAATCAAAGAACGGAAAAACGACGGAGATCAGTCGCCGAAGAGTTGATCCATCATCATTTTCGATTAGGAAGGCGTCCCCCTCACTTAATCCATACGGGAAGAACAGACCTGCGAGTAAGGAAAAGCCGGGTTTTTAAAATCCTTAAAGCGGTACTTTAATTGATGAACGTTTTGCCTTAGTGTACTATTCAGAGCTATCTATATACAGAGTTTGGCCAACTTGGTTTCACTGGGTAACAACATGGCGTATATTATTTTGCTTTGTGTTGCCCAACAAAGCAGTAGTCGCCATATTGTGTCCAACTCGAACCGGGTTGGCCAAACTAAATGGCCCGAATTCACAAAGGAGGTTTGTCGACAAACCTTGGTTTTTGAACGTCATATGACGCGTTTTTACGCGTTTTTTTACAAACCTGGTTTGTAAAAACGCGTCGAAACGCGTCATATGACGCACGAAAACCAAGGTTTGTCGACAAACCTCCTTTGTGAATTTGGGCCAATATGTATAGATGGCTCTGGTACTGTTTACTTGCACAGCGCCATCTCACGGCTAGAATCAACAGTGCAGCTATGGAAGTAGCGAGTTCCGGCGTTATTTTCTTCCGCGGCCCAGATTGAGGCTTTTTATAAGGGGTCTTGATTTAACCCTACCCCTAACCCTAACCCTAACCCTAAACTTTCCCATAGGCTCAACACGCACCTAACCCCAATCTGTGCCGCCGAAAAAATAACGCTTACGGGATCATACACAATACTACAGCTGACCTGAGATGGCGCTTGAGGGGATTTGCGATAGTGGTTATAGTTCCTTACGGCTTTAAAGATACTATGTCCCTTTTGCAGCCAACATCAAATTCTGTAGAACTTTGCAGGAATTATGTATATGTCATGTATGTCATATCTGTGAAATTTAAACGTTAGCAGTGTCCTCTTATTTAAATTATGCAAGGAAACCCGTTTACTTGCTAGACTTCACTGTCAGACACTATTGAGTGACTGACTGGCTTTTTTCTTCTTTGGTAATAACATACATAACATGAGCTGTAAAGGGTACATGAGCATTTGTCTACATCAATAACCCACTTCTTGAAATGGCCAAAATTAAACTGATTGAATCTTTGCGCAGCATAAAACGTACGACTATTCGGTACTATGGTCTGAAAAATCAGACTATTACTTATTGGCTCTATAGCTCCTAAGTCGATTCGACAACTAATAGTCATTATTTTCCCACTTAAAGACATTTTCAAGCCCCCCCCCCCCCCCCAGTATTTTTAGGGAAGTTCTAAACTAGTATTGTCTTCCAAATGCTGTTGGAATTTAACCTTTTCATTTGTTTGACCTGCAAATGGGACATAGTACCTTTAATGGCCAATCTAACCTTTGTTATAAACTGGCTTCTATGAAAGCACAAACAGAATAGTGAAAGATATAGTACATTTTGGTAAAAAAATAAATGTTAAGTCATTTGGTGTGTTGAAACAAGTGGGAAGTTAACGCCTCTACATCACAGTGACATTACCAATGTAGTCCCATGTATGCAGACCTAAAGGGATACAACTTTCTTTTTTTTAATCATAATTTTCTAACCCTCTGTCTTATTTCGTTCAAACTATATATCATTAGAAAGTCTGCTTCTTTGATTTTTCAGCTTTCTTCAAGAATAATTGTCTATTAAGTTTAGGCAGGGCAGTGATGGTGATTATAATAATTGTTATGGGATAGGCCTAGATCGTTTTGTTTTAAATATATACAGTAGATGATTAACGTATACTGTAAATCACATCCAAGGGATTCAGGCCGACACACTTCGACCGGATGGTCGTAATCATCTTCAAATATTTTATATATTCAATTTTGGTTACATTTTTATATTTACTGTCATTTTTTTATTGTTTCAATCATTTCAAAATTTGAACAGTTATTTCTGAGTTATTCAGATTGATTCAAGCCAAAGCCATGGCATTCTCTATCTTCTTGACAACAAAGCGAGGCCGAAAGGTTAATCATGTTTGTACAAGTAATTAGAGAAACAAAACACACAGAAGGAAAAGACGTTGACATGGCAATGTGATGTTTTGTTTGTCAGGATATCTTGACTAATTCAACCAAAAAACATAGAATATAGAAGATCCCATGTCAACTCTTGACTGCTCGATGCATGGGCAAGAAGGTTACATTTAACAACCCGATTTTTGTTAATGAAACAAATTCTTTAAAAAATCGTTGTAAGAGTAGACTTCAAAACTGTTTTAATCATTCGATAATCACTTAAACCCCTGGGGGCATTTCACAAAACTTGTCATCAGTGACAATTGACAGTTTTTGTTAAAAGCTACTGAAATCCTTGCTTCTGATTGGTTATCAGCAGATTTGTCACTAATATTTGTCATTTTTCATTGAAAAAAGGCTTTGTGAAACGGGCCCCAGGGCTCATACGGGTGTCTGGTGGGCACGAAACAAGGGCGTGGTAACGACTTTGAAAGGGGAGGGGCATGCGCCAAGATACCTACATGGACAATTGATAGTTGATCATTGATTGTTTGATTTATATTTTATCTTTTCAATCATATTTATTCATGTGCATTAATGTGATATGAACATTTGATTGATGGAAATTAGATACAATTTGTGTTCTAATAAAGGACATGACAGTGTATTGAAAAGGTATAAGACATTGAGTTACATGAACACGATTTATATGGGACTTACAATAGGGTATTGTCATTTCTGTTGAGCTGATTTTGGAAAGTAGTTTGATATTATTTATTTATTTATTTATTTATTTGAACATATTAAATCAGGATAACAAGATTAGAAAGGACTGGTTTACATCCTGGTCCTGAATATTAAAAGCTTACACTAAAACAAAAAACAAAAAAATAATCATACATATATAATGAGAATTGTTAAAATACTCATGAAGTATAAAAAATATTTAGTGACCATAATCTTGAGTAAAAGCCAAGTCAAAATTAAATGATATTTAATTGAATATTTAAAAACACAATAATGAAATCGAATAATCAACTAATCTATTTCAATCAAAACTCTATGATATGTTAATTACTGAATTATTGTATTTAATACTGAAATATAGTTTACTGCTACTATGAATAAATCGAAGTCTTTTCTAAGCGAGGGTGCCTGGTAATAAACTGAATTTTTGTTTTTGACCTGAAATTAAATTGAAAAAAGGAAGAGAGATAGACATTTCTGATAGCAAACACCATTGTTGCCTTATGTTTCGATTAACACAGTTTTTATCTTTGAGCAAGGTTAATTAAGATGTTTACATTTAGGTTTTGTTTACAGAAGTCCGTCACTGTGTTTGCACTTCATCTTATTACGCAAGTGAGTTCCATGAATTTGGGTACACAATTTGGAGATACATTACTGATCACATGCTCACAATGCCCCTTTTTTAATATAAGTTCTAATTCATCCCCCCCCCCCCCCCCCATATTTGTTGCCTCTTTGCGTGATGTTAACCCACTGAGAACTAAATTTTTTTAAACGATAATAATAATACCATGTCTTGCCCATGGAAGCCTGATCAGTATTACTAGCGTTCTTCCTATAAGGGCCCTGCAGACATATCATTACCTCCACCTTTAGCCGAGCTACCATGAAAAGGCGCTCAAGCATTCTAGAGAATGTCTTCTCACCGGGTACCCAATTACTAAACCAGGGTGGAGAGTGGCAAATATAGATTTATATCTTGCCAAAGATCATTATTTCCCCAGTGGGACTCGAACCGCGAACCATGTGATTCACAGTCAAGCTGCGCATCCACTAGACCACGACACCTTTATTTAACTACCTACATTCTGATCGAATGCCCAATCGAATTTGTATATACCAAGACAGAAAAAATATCAGTGTAATGCCAAGCCCAGTGTTTTATAGAATGGATCGCAATGCATGGGCCACTAGGTTATTGGGAATAATGGACTAGTACATGTATCTGTATTCATAAAGTAGCTAATCATATTGTAAATTGACATTATTCAATGTCATAAATTTTACCTTTTCCCGCCTACAAGTTCAACTTGACTCTAATTTTTTCCCTTTAGCATTTCTGAAATAGTATGACGAGTGCCCATACTGCACCATGGTAATGTTGTGGTATACATATTCATTTTCTAAAGTTGACTAAGCTTGAACTGTATCAATAAAAAGTTTCGGAATATTTTTGTATCACTTAAGCTTAAAACAAACTTAATGAAAATGAATATACTACGGCAAAATGAATATGCACAGCAGGAAAAAAATAACCATTGTTCTCATTATACGGACATTAAGATAAAAACTTAAATGTTTTAAACTTACTATTATCTGCCTCTGATGTCTGCAGTACATTCAAGATGATTGCGATGCAGAAGAAAACGGCGAATTGCTTCTTTCCGGTCATCTTAGAATTAGATGCGTTTGATAGTCAAGTCCAACAGATATCGAGCAGATATCTTCTGCTATTATATGCTTATCCCAAAAGTATTGTTCTTCTATTTTCAATTCTTCTCCTTCTTAGCCAAGTCTTTATTGTTCTCTATTCTGTCCTTTGATATCCTAATTCTTCTTGTACGTTTAATCAGCCCACGCTTCCATTTTCGTGCTCTTTTCTCCTATTGCTCTTAACGCACTATGTCTGTCTACGTTCGTTTACTCAACGCCGAATAGAAAAAAGGATTAAGTTGTCGAAATACTTTGTACCAATGACATTAAGATAAAGTCAGTATAATAGTCTCAATTGGGGCGCGTGTAAATGTGCGTGCGGATACGTTTGTGTGTGTGAGTGTGCGTGTGCGTGTGTGTGGCAGTGTACATATACCTAAGTGAACTGATAATTGTGCTTTCTACTCAAAATAAACATCATGTAAAAAATATTTTAAAAACTTCAATCCGTTTGAAGAAAAATAAAATGACTTTAATCAATCACATTATCTGACCATTTCTTTTCTCTGTGTGGCCCTAAATAATAATGTATATGTTTAGTCAAGATAAAAGTGTGTCAATGGACAGGTTTATGGTGCGTAAAAAACTTTGAAATATAGGAAAATTTTATAACCCCCGTTTTCTGAATAAATCACACTTTTATGTTTCATTGCACTATTCATATTAGTGTAATATCAGACTTTCAAATGAATATCAAACTTTGTATAAGGCGCAGTAGAGTATATATGTATACAGTAGCTACGCTTTATAAATAGACCTATAATTATTTTGTTTTACTGTGCGTGGCATCCACCGCTATATTTCCTTATATTTGTGCAAGGGTTTTAGCATGTATGCCCCCAATGCCTTTATCATGTCCAACAAAGGAGTTATACATATTTTTTAATAACTCCTAGTTCCAAATTAAAAATATTTATTTTAATCATCTTGGCCGGTCTAATATAATACTGATTCAAGGAGGATCTTTCCTCCCAAACGCAATGAAATGTGAAACGCAATATGAAGGGGAAAAAATATTACAGCTCAGAAAAAATACATCATTTGTTGCATGTTGATTCATCAAATTCCTATAACTTCAACCATGGAGTTTTTCTCAAGCACAATGACAACTAACCTTAAACCTTTGAATTTAATACTTTTTGTTTCCTGGACGAAATATGTAAAGGAAACAAAATAACAATAGACTGCTGACAAGCCATGTTGCAAATAAAAGACGGAAGCAGATACGTTTTCGAGACAGGCTGACGTTTGTTGTCCTGTGCATTTTCATAGCTTCAATTGCAGATATATCCGTATTATCAACAGCGCCACCAAGCTGTATAGTGTTTGATTTTTTATTGAACTTTGTGCGTTCAATAACGTTATACAGAGTGATTTGGTATTACAAAAAATTATCAATACATATTCAGACATAAACAATTTTCTTTCAAACACACAAAGAAAAAACGCACCTGTATAATGGAAATTAACATTATACGCAGGAGACCGCCATCATGAGCAAGTTGTTAAATGTCGATGGCGGCCTATGCCGTTGGAAATGCAAGGCATTAATTTGAAAACAAAGTAATGCTCATAATCTACAGATATAAATAATCATACATATTGTACGATATAGATCTTTGTATGTAAGTCAAAATTACGCAAATATTATTGACACCTCTATAATCACATGATAAGATAACTCAACAGGTAAATTGATACATAAAAGAGTTTCATTTCATCAAATAGAAAACGCAAACTATCAAAACAGTTACATTTGCTCATCATATTCCACCGACTTCTTAGAAGATTTGACAGAGAGAGAGAGAGAAAGAGAGAGATGGGGGGGGGCAAAGCTAAGGAGCGAGCGCAAACTCATCAGTCTGCAAGAACTTTCGACTGTTCAGTTCAGTTCAGTTCAGTTCATTTTTATTCAAAACCATACAAAGCATGATATAATCTGTTACATAAAAAGAGACTGGTAATAGTACATCAATCAACATATTCTAACTTGATTACATCATAAACTGTGAAGGATCGAGGCATGCAGACTCAACCCAAAGAAAAGAAGAAGAAACAAATATATTAAGCCTAAGGTCATTGGTTGTGGATTATGAAATCTGTATTTAAAAAAAAACTATAAAAAAATCAACTCAGGGGCGATTTCAATGCCCATTTGACTTATGTTTGACCATGGAGTAGTAGGTCCATGGTTTGACCATAACAAAACCATATCCGGGTTGCGTAATACCTCGTTGTAATGTTCGTACTTTGTATTACGTGACACACAAGGCTCTTGATATTACCTTAGGTTGACTTTACGAAAATAAAGATCGTGTTATGAGATTTTTAGTGAATTTAAAGGTACTATGTCCCATTTGCAGACCCCCAAAAAATGAAAAAGTTAAATTCCATCGGCATTTGAAAGACAATATTAATTAAGAAAGTTCCCTCAAAACGAAAAGGCTTGAAAAAGGCTTTTAGTTGGAATATAACGACCATTAGTTGTCGAATCGACTTAACTGATTGCAATCATTACCTAAGTAATAGTCTGATTTTCAGACCCTTTTATCGAATGGTCGTCCGTGTTGTGTTGCAGAAAGATTCAATCAGTTAAATTTTGGCCATTACAAGTAGTGGGTAATTGATGGAGACAAATGCTCATGTACCCGCTACAGCTCATTCTATGTTACATTATGTATGTTATTACCGAAGAAAAAAAGAAGTCAGTTAGTCAGTCAATAGTGCCTGACAGTGAAGTCTACAAGGTAAACGGGCTTTCTCGCATAATTTGAATACTATATAGGACTTTGCTAATGTTTGAATTTCCCAATTCTTGCAAAGTTCTACAATATTTGATGTTGGCTGCAAAAGAGATAAAGTATCTTTAATGTGATTCCGTGATAGAAAGCAAGGCGAGACATAAGAAATTACAAGGCCATCTCTCTCCCGAAACATGACAAAAATATTTGCTTGCTGTCGATCCAGAATTTCGAGATCCAATAGGAGGGGGAGGGGGACTTCATTCCGGAAGGAGAATAATAGAGAAAGAATGCTAATTCTCCTCGACTTGGGTAACAAGTTCAGATGATATTATACATGGCTTTTAAATCCTGACCACAATGGAAGTTTAGCTCAACCCAGTTGCCCTGTGGCTTCCCTTCTAAATCTCATTCACGACGTATTTGCATGACAATAGTCCCTATTGTTAATTCACGAAAGGCCGCCAACGTCCCGATAATAATACATAAAAAACGTAACAAATGCCTCTTCGATTTCATGACTTTCTAAAGAGCTGTGTTTGCTGTGCGCCAAGAGTGCGATCGCTTGCACACATGAGCGATTCCTGTACACGTCAGCCCCTAATATAATATACTCGGCGGTGACGTATGCGTACAGTTGTGCAGTAATTTTGCCAGTACCGTCAACCGTGTAGCAATAGGCACATTAGATCAGAAAGCTACGAGTTCATAAACACTCGTAAACATGGCGTCAGCTACAGTGAAACGAGATATTTCTACGATTTTCCTCCTTGTTTTGTCTATAACTGGGGCGATCTTTGGATTACCACTTGCAGAAGTAGATGGTGAAAACAGAGGTATGTTTTGCAATAATTGTCGCGCGAGTAAGGTAATTTTATTTTTATTGGGAAAGCACTGGAACTTTGCAGCCTGGTTGTGATGTTTGTTATGAAGCAATCAGCTCTCATCCATGCCCATGGTGACTCATTTTAGTCACTAAACGGATCCGATGTGTACTTCATTTAATGGCTGTACTGATATGTCATTTATTTGCGCGAATTCAAGTAAACTGGTTATATATCAGGTAGCATGTATATAAGAAAGTACAATTTGTTGTGTTTTTTATATATATATATATATATATATATATATATATATATATATATATATATATGCATTGGAGTATTTCGTTATGTTAATACATTCAAAGGCATAAATTTGTAGGCCTGCTCACTCTATTGATTAAACATGATAATCAAAAATTTTAAAATGTTATTTCCAGTACGAGTCCACCCCAAATATAACCTTCTTTCAATAAAAGCAGAAAATCAGACAAACCAATCAAAAAAAGTTTGAGCAAAATCGGATAACTAATAAGAAAGTAATAAGAAATAAAAACAGGAAGGGCTGTAGAGATCTGATTTAGGTATGCCGGTAAAGCACCAAGCAAAACAACGACAGAATTTACAACGCGTATTGAGAGTGAGAGAAAGAGTGTTTATGATTAGAGAGAGAGAGAGAGATTCAAAGAGGACATAATATTTTGCAATTAAATGCCATTGATTTCTATGACAACGTGTCTATTTAATTTGCTTGATGTGTCTATATTCGCCTTGAACGCTGAGGAAAATCAATAACGAATCAAACATCTGTGGAAATAGAATAATCCATCTGTGTACGCCATTTGAAAACGTGCCCTTAACGGAAAGTGAGTTCTAGTAAGCGTAAACAATATTTTGCAAGTTTCTAATTTTGTTCCATATCAGTTTAAAGTAGAACATCATGGTAGAAATGTCCTGTGAAAAATGATTGGTCTTCAAATACCCTCATATTTAGAAATATGACGAGATAACAGCTGAAAAGTTTGGACCTAAAACGTACATGTTACATGCATGTATTAGTGTGGTCCCATATAATTACTACAACTACCCATTTATCTGTGCTATATGTATGTATGTGATTTTCTGCAAAGTTGGGTCACTTGTTTTCACTTTGATCAATTAAAAACGTCAGTTAATACTTCATTTTCGTACGCACTACATAATTAATCTTACTCATCTGCATCCAGACAGTTTCTCTCATAATTACATCGCATGACAAGTGGAGTTCTGAATAATATATTTAATTGTACAGTGTTACCATTGTGGTTGCTTCAAACAGTAGTCGGTTTTGCAGTGGCAGATTTTTTTAATTAAAACGAATCAAACATATAAACGTGAGTAGTGATTAAAACTAAGTATTGATTAATCATATGAATAAATATTATTCAGTATTTAATATTGATATTAGTTCTCATTCTGTATTATTTTTTTTTAAAAGCGAAAGAAAGAAAAGGAAAGATAAAAAAAAGGGAAAAAAAGAAAAAAAATCAACGCGAACCAATCTACCAGCAACTCTTTCCCTTTCTCTGTCATATTAATGAGCTAACTACTTGGAACGTGTAACGCGTTACATGTACATGCCGACAATAATTTGTGCAGGCATGTTTTACCTAGAATGCATACTTAATATACATGTACATGTATGTGTATAAAACCCTCTAAAAGGTTGACAACTCAAGTTTGATTGGTCGTACCTGTCTTGTTGTACATGTAGCTTAAGTATCGCCTTGTTTAGTATCATTAGAAAGTTTGTTTTATCATTTTTAAAATGATACCCCATTTGTTATGATTTTTTAGACGTAGAATATGTGCGGTAGATAAAAAAATAAGGGGCAAGACAAAAAGTGAAAAGGCAAAATACTTTGATCTTGTTCGGCTGTGCATTCTTCTTTTCTTTGAAGACTGAATGGTACTTGTAGTTTTGTAGTGCTTTGCATAACGATATCAGTGCTTACGGCTTTGTATACCTGCACAAATATTTAGGATTGTATAATACATGCAGGTAGATCGAAGCAGGTTATGATACTGCCAGTAGAAAAATTCAACAACCAGGGTATTATATTTATCACCACAAAGAACAGGGTTGCTATTCTCTGGTTCAGTGGGTGAGGTAGAGGTGTTGGAACCGGCAGGTCCTGGGTTCGAATATAAATTAATGGGTAATCTCGAGTCCTGGTTTTTGACGGGAACTTGATTCTCATTAAACCGAACGAGACTTGCACCGAGTGTTCAAGAGTTCAAATAAAGGATATTTGCTTAACTATTTCCATTGTTCGTGTAATGAGTAATGAGCAATAAAGATAAGAATATCTAGCTGGTTGTGCAGACAGTTTACATGCGTTGTCATATACAGTCAAACATGTCTTAGTGGTAACCTCTCTATATAGGCCTTCACTCCATTGTCTCTTTCTAGGAAGAAATAGGTGTTGTATTGGACTAGCCTAGAAGTGTGACGTGTTTACAGTGGCTAGTTTTTCGATCGTTTCCCTTGGGTGGTTTACGAGACATGTCTGACCATATATGTACAGCTATTGTGTTTTGTTTTCTGCCTCTTAGTGAATGCGTTTTCGATTAAACATATTTTCTTATTGGCTGAAGCCCCGGTCACAAATGCCAGTACGAAGTGCTACGAACGCCGTACGAACGATTTTGAGACAATGGAAATTCGGAAAGACGATGGAAAAACAGGGAGATTCGTACGAACGCATCGTTCGTACGAATCTTTGTGACCGTAGCATTAATTGAAAATAGTCAAATGTAATCTACATGGCGATTTGCTAGTCACATGTTCAAAGACTAAATTAAGACAATTTGAAAACGACAATATTACTTTCCTTGTTTGGTTTTTGGTTTGATCTAAGCTCAAGAGATTTCAACTTGATATGATAACCAGGTATAGTGACAACTTTGATGGTGCCAGTAACATATGGGATTAAATACCGCAAACTTTGCCTTATATTTTGCTATGAAAATTAACAATCCATCTACTGAATGAAAACAATCCAGAATGTTCTTTTTCTCACGATATTTACCAAAACTAAGAATAAGCAATAAAGCTGTAGTCATAATACCTTTAGGTCCTCACCAACAATCAATTTGGTTATCATTTACATGTATGTGCATTTATTAAAAAAGAATTTGTTCATACTCCCCATCGGCTTGATATATGAGCCACCTGATTATAATAGACAAGGACTAAAAACCTTTTCATACTGTCATCTCGCTTCTATAAATATTTGGTTTCATATTTCTGTTGACTGATCAAAGTTAGTTATATCAATTTACACATCGTTATCTATGTGTATAAAACCTACACATACTTCCGACGTTTGGAGGGCAGACGTGATATAAACAACGTTCTCAAATAAGATTTCGCATTCCCGAATCCATTTGATCATTTACAAAGGTCAAGTAGGAACAAGGATCACGATTAACTAAGTGTACACAATGAAATACCGATAAAAAACGACTGGAAACACCATTACTGACATTCAATTACTTACATGTAATACATTTCGGAAAGGGCGGGGGGGGGCACTTAGATAATTGCAAGAAATTGTGTCCCGCACGTTACCTACCACATCAAAGATTGTAGTATATCTGAGTGTATTGATGTACAGGTCCCTGCTAGAGGTTGGAGTAGATGATATGCATATAAATAACTAGGACATAATTGCTGCCCCCCCCCCTTCTCCTCCCACGCCCACTACCCGTTGCCTGAAATCATTTCTAGGACCCCATAGCACATTCTCACTCACTCCGTCGGACCAGTGTACGCTAGACGAATCTAACGTAAATGTGATTGTGAAGACACAACCGTGCCAAGAAGCGTACCTCTGAACCTGTCTAGAAGAACATACGGAAATGAGTTGAGTTGCATGACTTTCATGACATGTATGAATTTAGAACAAAATAATGCATTCCATGGGACCTTCAAATAGTAACCGAACTGATAAATGTTTTCGTTTGTACAAAACAATTTATTTTTTTTTAATTCCAAGGATAATATTACCTTTGTCATATTTCTGAGTTTCCCACTAAACTACCGGCACAAATCATTGGGTTTGCATGCACTCAATAACATGAACGTGAAAATAGGTTGCTTAAATTCAGAATGTACATTGCGCAGTGGCGGATCCAGGGGGGCCGAAACGGCCGCGGCCCCCCCCCCCCCCTATTGGCGGCGCAAAAAAAAGAAAAAAAGAGGAAGAAAAGAAGAGAAAAAAAGGAAAGGAGAAGAGAAGAAGAAAAAAGAGAAGAGAAAAGAAAGGAGAAGAGAAAAGAAAAGAGGAGTGAAAAGAAAGAAGAGAAAAGAAACAGAGAGAGAGAGAAAAAAAAAGGAGAAATGATAACGAAGAAAGTCCCCCCCCCCCCCCCCCCCCCCAATTTGTGTTTCCAAAATCTCCGAAAAAGGGTTACTTTTCACGCAACAAAGTCCGGCCCGTACTGACTTTACACACCGGAGATAGAGGGGTGCTTTCAAAGAGAGGGAACATAATTGCGCGTACCCTAGATAACACTGAGTGAGTGGGGGGGGGGGGGGGGGAGGGAATGGCGCTTAGTGACAGTAACAACGAATAAGGGAAAAACTGTAATCGGGAGATTTGGGGTCATTCCAGTAGGCTTGGCAAACGTCATTGTATAGGGGGCCGGGCCGGTCGCATAAAATCTCGAGCCGCGGATTCAAAGTTAAACGTTAAAAACAGCCCCTGCGCTACAAAGGTCACCACTCTTTAGTGAGAAATTTGAAAAGGGCACACTATTTTGGATGTCTTTTAAATAGAAGCTATATACTCAACAGTCAAATTTTAAATTAGCGGTAGGGCCGCTTCACAACTCTTATTTTGCCCTTCATTTGGATCCAGCTCATACCAACTCGCTTGTGCTTGTATTTGAACTCATGTTGGTAAAACCATGGATTTATCCATGGTTGGTGTAATAAATCTTTTATTTCTACTAGTCTAATTGTGTACTAT